AGCACACCAACATGGCACATGCATACATATGCAACAAACCTGCATGTTGTGTGCATGTACCCTAGAACTTAAATTATAATAAAAAAAATTAAAAAAATAAAATTTATATGGAAAGACAAAGGAACAAGTATAGATAACACTGAAAAATAATAAAAGTTGGCTGGGTGCAGTGGCTCATGCCTGTAATCCCATATTTTGGGAGGCCAAAGCAGGAGGACTGCTTGAGCCCAGGAGTTTGAGACCAGTTTGGGTAACATAGTGGGACCTTATCTCTACAAAAAATTTAAAAATTAGTCAGGCATGGTGGCACACACCTGTGGTTCCAGCTACTTGGGAGGCTGAAGCAGCAGGATCACTTGAGTCCAGGAGGTTGAGGCTACAGTGAGCCATGTTTGTGCCACTGCACTCCAGCCTGGGCAACAGAATGAAACTCTGTCTCCAAATGAATGAATGAATGAATGAATGAATATGGTGGAATCACTAACCAATTTTAAGACTTATTATAAAGTTACAGTAATCAAGATAGTGTATTACTGATGAAAGGATAGACACATAGATCAACTGAACAGAACAGAGTCCAGAAATAGACCAACACAAACATGGTCAACTGATATTTAACAAAAGTGCAAAGGCAATGGGGAAAAGATAGTCTTTTCAACAAACTGTGCTGAAACAATTTGACATCCATATGAAAAACACAACCTCTCATATTTTATACAGAAATGAACTAAATATGGATGATTTGTTCTAAAATGTGAAGTATAGAACTATGTAATTAACAAAGAAAAGCATGCCGGGCGTGGTGGCTCATTCCTGTACTCCCAGCAATTTGGGAGACCTAGGCGGATGGATCACCTGAGGTCAGGAGTTCAAGACCAGCCTGGCCAACAAGGTGAAACCCCACCTCTACTAAAAATACAAAAGATCAGCCAGGTGTGGGGGCGCGTGCTTGTAATCCCAGCTACTCCGGAGGCTGAGGCACGATAATTGCTTGAACCCAGGAGGTGGAGGTTGCAGTGAGCCAAGATAGTGTCACTGCACTCCAGCTTGGGTGACAGAGTGAGACTCCATCTCAAATAAATAAACAAATAAGAAAGAAAAACAAAGTAGAAGTGAGGTGATGAAGGGAACGTCATTATTTGGAAAGCCTCACATTAAGACGCACACACTGTGCTGCTGCTACAGCTCTAATACCTGCCACTTTCAGAAGTCAATGTGTGGCAAATGTCGCTACCCTCCCAAGCATAAAATAAAGTATAACTAGAGTGCCAAGGCTAAAAGACAAAATACCACCAGGAGTGGTATAATTAGGTAGCTAAAAATTGCATACCATGAATTCAGGCACGTACTCTGTGAAGGAATAACACCTATACCCAAAGGGGCAGCTGTAGCAGCATCCAGTTCATTTTAAGAATTTCAATGATTGGTCATGCAATAAATGTTTTGCTTTTTCTCTTTTTGAGATGAAGTTTCACTCTTGTTGCCCAGGCTGGAGTACAATGCTGCAATCTCGGCTCACTGTAACCTCCGCCTCCCGGGTTCAAGCGATTCTCCTGCCTCAGCCTCCCGAGTAGCTGGGATTACAGGCACGCACCACCATGACCAGCTAATTTTTTGTATTTTTAGTAGAGCTGGGGTTTCACCATGTTGGCCAGGCTGGTCTCGAACTCCTGACCTTAAGGTGATCCACCCACCTCAGCCTCCCAAAGTGCTGGGATTACAGGTGTGAGCCACTGCACCTGGCCAATGTTCTTCTTTTTAAAAAATATTTTTAAAAAAGAAAACAGAAGAAAATAGTCATGCCTGCAGTTGGGCAAAGAGTTCTTAGACATCACACCAAAAGCATGGCCCATAAAAGATAAACGCTAATGAAAATTGTAAAACTTTGCTCTGCAAAAGATGCTGTTAAAAGAAAAGACAACTACAGACTGGGGGAAAATATTTGCAAACCAGGTATCTGTCAAAGCACTCATACGCATTATAAAGAACTCTCAAAACACAACAGTAAGTAAATGAACAAACCAATTTAAAAAAACAGGCAAAAGACTGTTCATGAACAAACCAGTTGCCACAGAGGATATATGCATGAAGTATGCTCCGCACAAAAATGTTGGCCAGGCGCGGTGGCTCACACCTGTAATCCCAGCACTTTGGGAGGCTGAGGTGGGCAGCCTGCTTGAGCTCAGGAGTTTGAGACCAGCCTAGGCAACACAGCGAAACCCTGTCTCTACGAAAAGTACAAAAATTAGCCAGGCATGATGGTGTGCGCCTGTAGTCCCAGCTACTTGGGAGGCTGAGGCGGGAAGACTGCTCAAGCCCGGGAGGTGGAGGCTGCAGGGAGCCGAGATCATGCCACTACACACCAGCCTGGGCAATAAAGTGAGACTGTGTCTCAAAAAGAAAAAAATGTTCATCATTAGTCACTTGGGAAACATAAATTAAAACTATGACGAGCTACCACTACACACCTATTAAAACAGTTATAAAAAACACTGACAATCTGTTGTATAACATGGTGGCTACAGTTAATAACAAGGTATTATATTTTTGGAAATTACTAAAAAAGTAGATTTTAAGTGTTCTCACCACAACAAAATGAAAAGCATTTGAGGTAATATATATGTTAATTAACTTGATTTAGCCATTCTATGATGTATACATATTTCAAAACATGTTGTATGCAATAAATATATATAATTTTCATTTGTCAGTAAAAAAAAATAAATGGAAAAAAACCTGACAATACCAAATGCTGGTAAGGAATGGAACAGCTACTTTGGCAAGGTCTTATAAATTTAAACATACACTTACCACATGACCCTGAAACTCCACTTGTAGGTATTTACACCAGGGAAATAAAAACTCATGTTCATACAAAAACCTGTACACAAATGTTTATAGCAGCTCTATTCATAACACTATAAAGTGAAATCAATCTAAATATTCTTTAAGGGGTGAATGGATAAACAAACTGGCATATCCATACAATGGCTATTATTCAGCAATAAAAAGGAATGAATTATTGATACAGGTAACATGCAACAACTTAGAAGAATCTCAAAGGTATTATGTTGAATTAAAGAAGCCATTCTCAAAATATCATGTACTGGGCTGGGCGTGGTAGCTCATGCCTATAATCCCAGCACTTTGGGAGGCCAAGACAGGTGGATCACCTGAAGTCAGGAGTTCAAGACCAGCCTGGCCAATATGGTGAAAACCCCTCTCTACTAAAAATATAAAAAATTATCCAGGTGTGGTGGTGGGCGCCTACAATTCCAGCTACTCTGGAGGCTGAAGCAGGAGAATCGCTTAAGCCAGGGAGGTGGAGGTTGCAGTGAGCCGAGATCACACCATTGCACTCCAGCCTGGGCAACAAGAGCGAGGCATCATGTCAAAAAAAAAAAAAAATCACATACTGTATGATTCATGTGATATTCTTTAGAAGACAGAACCATAGTAACAGAAGATGAACTGGTGGTTGCCAGGGGTTAAAGGTAGGTTTGGGTGTTATTACAAAGGGATAGCATGTTTTTTGGGGTAGTACAACTGTTCTGTATTCTTATTGTGATGATGGTCATATAAATCAATACATGTGTTAAAATTCACAAGTCGGCTTGACTGTATGTTAATTTTAAAAATAAATGAGAAATTCAAATTAAAAATATAAATCAAATTGTTAAAAATTAACTTATTTTTATAATTTTAAATTTCATTTTGTAGAATAAAATCCCAGTTGAGCTCTTTTTCCACTATTAACAATGAAATTTTCATTCTTGTTTTATGTAGACTCACTTTAAGTAGTCTTTTTTCTTTGCCCATTATCTTCCATTGAGCAAGAACTCCTTTATGTTAAGATACACAGATGCTCCTTGATTTATGATGGGGTTATGTCCCAATAAACCCATCACAAGTTGAAAATATAGGTCGACAATCCATTTAATACACCTAGCCTACTGAACATCATAGCTTAGCTTAGCCCACCTTAAATGTGCTCAGAATACCTTACATTAGCATACAGCTGGGCAAAATCATCTAACACAAAGTCTATTTTATAATAAAGTATTGAATATCTCATGTAATGTACTGAATACTATACTGAAAGTGAAAAACAGAATGGGTATATGGGTACTCAAAGTACAGTTTCTACTGAAAGCATATTGCTTTTGCACTACTGGAAAGCAGAAAAATGTTAAGTTGAACCAACATTAAGTGAGGGATGCGCACATTTTTAAAAATTTACTTTCAAATTTTTTTTGGGGAAAGACAAAGTCTTGCTATGTTGCTCAGGCTAGTCTCAAACTCCTAAGCTCAAGTAATCTTCCTGCCTTGGCTTCCCAAAGTGCTGGTATTACAGGTGTGAGCCACCATGTGTACACTGAAACAAAAAAAAAGACTAGAAGGACATATGTCAGAGTGGTAACTACAGCAAGCTGTTCATGGGTAATGAGATTTTATGTGATTTGTTTTCATTTTCTAAATTTTCTAGAATGGGCTTGTATTACTTTACTGATTTATTTTTTTTAAGATGAAGTTTCACTCTGTCACCCAGGTTGGAGTGCAGCAGCGCAATCTTGGCTCACTGCAACCTCCGCCTACCGGGTTCAATCAATTCTTCTGCCTCACCACACCCAGATAATTTTTTGTATTTCTAGTAGAGATGGGATTTCACCATGTTGGCCAGGCTGGTCTTGAACTTCTGACTTCAAGTGATCCACTCACCTTGGCCTCCCAAAATGCTGGGAGTACAGGCGTGAGCCACTGTGCCCGGACTAGAATAGGCTTATATTACTTTAATCATCAGTAGAAAAAAAGGTAAAGGACACTTTCAATCCAGGCTGTGTAATGTTTTTTAAAGGAAATTTTGGAGCTCTGGTTTGTAAGCATGGAGAAGACAAGCAGCTAGGAAAACTTAGGTGTCACAGAAAAGATCAGGGACCTGTTGGTGTTGCTGAAGAAGGTAAGAAAATTGAGGACTCTTAGGAAGGGGAATGCTAACTTACCTGAGACTGTTTGAAAACATCCTTCCCAACTACATCCAGGTTTGAGGGATCTTTGATGGAACTAACATACTCAGAAACAGCCTTGATCACCACGTCACAGGGAGGAAGAACCAGCTGATGAGCTCGAACCTAGAAAAGGCAAGATAAGCAAGGGACGCTGACATCAAAGATGGATCACTAAGAAAAAGGGTGAAGTTGAGGGGGGATATGGAATCCAAATTTGGTAAATCCACAGAGAGACAATTAAAATATTTTCTTTAAAAATAGTTTCACCCCTTCATTCTCAGTACAGAACATTTGGAAAACATGGAAAAGTATAAAGCAATAAAAACATATCATCCATCTTCCTACAGAGATAACTACTGTATATGATACTCACAATTAATCAGACTTCCTTTCATGAGACATTTTGGCTTTTTTGCTATTAAATGTAATATTATAATGAGTTGACAACATTTGGATTCTGATTTGAACTAATCACAAAAAGCCATTTTAAGACAATCAGGAAAATCTGAAAATGGACTGGATATTAAGATGATACCAAGAAATTAGCATTAATTTTGTCAGGAGTAATAATGGCATTATGCTTATGTAAGAAACCACCCAAGTATTTTAGAGATGTGTACTGAAGAATGTGAAAGGGATTTGCTTTAAAAAAACATTAGCAACTACAAAAAACCCCAGAAAATGTGGCAAAATATTGGTAACTATTGGATCTGGAAGATGTTACAATGATGATTTACTATATATTATTTTTCCTGTTTTTGTGATGCCTAAACTTTTTTTTCTTTTTGTTTTTTTTTTGAGACAGAATCTCACTCTGTCATCCAGGCTGGGGTGTACTGGTGCAATCTCGGTTCAATGCAACCTCTGCCTCCTGGGTTGGAGCGATTCTCCTGCCTCAGCCTCTCGAGTAGCTGGGATTACAGGCACACACCACCACTGGATTTGCTCATAAAATATTCCCACTCTGAGATTATACAAAATTTCCCTCATGGTGCCGTCTATTATTATTACTACTATTATTTTGTTTTTGAGATGGAGTCTTGCTGTCGCCCAGGCTGAAGTGGAGATTGTCTAGAAAACAATTATGTGCACACGTGCAGTTCTTGAGTTCAAGTAATTCTCCTGCCTCAGCCTCCCGAGCAGCTGGGATTACAGGCACCTGCCACCATGCCCGGCTAATTTTTGTATTTTTAGTAGAGACAGGGTTCCACCATGTTGGCCAGACTGTTCTTGAACTCCTGACCTCAAGTGATCTGCCTGCCACGGCCTCCCAGAGTGCTGGGATTACAGGCATGAGCCACCGCACCCGGCCCTTAACACATTTTTAAAGAAAAAGTTTTTAATGCTTTCATAAATTATAGGTATGACGTCTTGCCCACTTTCCAATGATTTAATTACAAGCTTCCTCAAACTGTAATTACTGAGGCAGAGGGTATAAATTTCCTAAAGGTTTCTGAATTTTTATAAATTGTTTTGCCAAAAGGCTTTATTATTCATTCTTTAAATATTTACTGCCTATGTGCCAGGCACTGTCCTAGGCACCAGGGAAACAGCAGTGAACAAGACAGACAAAAATCTCTGCCCTCACGGGAGCTTAAATTCTAGTGTAGATGTGTTGGGATAGGGTGAGGGGAGTTAAACAAACTAAATAAGTAAAATATACAGTGTAGGCTGGGCGCGGTGGCTCACGCCTGTAATCCAGGCACTTTGGGAGGCCGAGGCTGGTGGATCATCTGAGGTCCAGAGTTCGAGACCAGCCTGGCCAACATGGTGAAACCCCATCTCTACTAAAAATACAAAAAAAAACCGGTTGTGTACTAGATGTAGAGTACTAGATGTAGATAAGTGCTGTGGAGAGAAGAGTAGAGAAGAAGCTAGGGAATGCAAGTATGTATATGCATACATGTGCACATAATTGTTTTCTAGACAATCCCTACTGCAGAAGTGTGTGCATATAATTTTTTATAGGGTGATCAAGAAAAGCCTCACTGAGAACAAAATTTTAGAAAACCTTCAGGAGTGAAGAAATAGCTATGAGGGGAAAAGTATTCCAAGTGGAGAGAATGATAAGTGCAAAGGTTCTAAGAGCAAAAGAAAGAAAGAAATCAGAGATATGAGAGGGGGCCAGACAGTAAAGGGCTTTGTAGGCCAGGCCATGGTAAGGATTGGGAGAGTGACATGAAGAGCTATTGGAGAATTTTTTTTTTTGAGACAGAGTCTTGCTCTGCCACCCAGGAGGAAGTACAGCGGCATGATCTTGGCTCACTGCAACCTCTGCCTCCTAGGTTCAAACAATTCTCCTGCCTCAGCCTCCCGAGTAGCTAAGGTCACAGGCACGCAACACCAGGCCCAGTTAATTTTTTTTTTTTTTTTTTTTTTTTGAGACGGAGTCTCGCTGTCGCTTGGAGTACAGTGGCATGATCTCAGCTCACTGCAACTTCCACCTCCTGGGTTCAAGTGACTTTTATGCCTCAGCCTCCTGAGTAGCTGGGATTACAGATGCGCACCACCACACCCAGGTAATTTTTGTATTTTTAGTAGAGATCAGATTTCACCATGTTGGTTGGGCTGGTCTCGAACTCCTGACTTCACGATCTGCCCACCTTGGCCTCCCAAAGTGCTAGGATTACAGGCGTGAGCCACCACCCCGGCCATTTTTTAAGTTTTTAGTAGAGATGGGGTTTCACCACGTTGGCCAGGTTGGTCTCGAACTCCAGACCTCAAGTGATCCGTCCGCCTCAGTCTCCCAAAGTGCTGGGATTACAGGTGTTAGCCACAGTGCCCTGCCAAGGATTTCGAATGGAGAAGTGATAGGATCTCATTTTTTTTTTTTTTAAAGGGTCGCTCTCCTGTTATATTGAGAATAAAATGGAGGTAAGGGGAAGAGTATAAGTAGAAGACCAATAGTTAATAAGCTATTATAATAATCCAGGCAAGAAATAATGGTGCCTTGGTCAGGGTAGCAGCAGTGCAAATGGTAAGAAGTAGGTATATTTTGAAGGAAGAGCTGATGGTATTTGCTGACAAATGAGATGTGGGGTATGGGAGAGAGAGGGGGAAGTCAGGATGACCCCCAAGGATTTTAACCTGAGAAAACGGAAGGATGGGCTGAGTACAGTGGCTCACGCCTGTAATCCAGCACTTTGGGAGGCCAAGGTGGGCAGATCACTTGAGCTCAGGAGTTTGAGACCAGCCTGGCCAACATGATGAAACCCTGTCTATACTAAAAATACAAAAATTAGTTGGATGTGGTGGCGCCCGCCTGTAGTCCCAGCTACTCAGGAGGCTGAGGCAGGAGAATCACCTGAATCCAGGAGGTGGAGATTGCAGTGAGCTAAGATTGTGCCACTGCACTCCAGCCTGGGCAATAAAGCGAGACTCCATCTGAAAAAAAAAAAAAAAAGGAAAGAAAGAAAATGGAAGGAGGAAGCTGCCTTTAACAAAAACGAGGAAGGCTGTGGGAGAAACACGTTTAGGGAGAAGATCAGGAATTTTCACTTGAACATATAACTTTGAGATGCCTATTGGGTATGTAAATGAAAATACTGAATTGGCAGTTAGATATTAGAATCTGGAGTTCAAGGGAGAGGTCAGAGCTGAAGACATAAAACTTAGGAGTCATCAATAAGCCGACGGTATTTAAAATCATAAGACTATATGAGATCAATCGTATGTGGAGACAGAAAAGAGAAGGGGCCGGGCATGGTGGCTCATGGCTATAATCCCAACACTTTGGGAGGCTGAGGTGGGAAGATCGCTTGAGCACAGGCGTTTAAGACCAGCCTGGGCAACATGGTGAGATCACGTCTCTACAAAATATACAAAAAAAATTAGCCAGCCATGATGGCATGTGCCTGTAGTCCCAGCTACTCAAGAGGCTGCTGTAGGAGGACCAATTGAGTCTGGGAGTTTGAGGCTGTAGTGAGTCATGATCGCCCCACTGCACTCCAGCCTGGGCAACAGAATGAGACCCTGTCTCAAAAACAAACAAACAAACAAACAAAACAAACCAGAAAAGAAAAGAGAAGGGAACCAGGATGGAACTCTGGGCTAGTCCACTTTTAACAAGTGGAAAAGACAAGGAAGCAGCAACAGAGACTGGGAAGTGGCAGTCAGTGAGGTAGGAAGGAAATAAGAAGAGAGTAGTGTCCTTAAGGCCAAGTGAAAAAAGTGTTCTATGGAAGAATGGGTAAGCATCTGTGTCAAATGCTGCTGACTGGTCAAGTAAAATGAAAACCGACAGCTGGCCCTGGGTTTATTAACTGAGAAGTTATATTGGTGACCCTGTCGAGAGCAATTTCAGTAAATCAACTGAAAAGCAAACAGGGGAAGGGAACAGTAAGAAACTCACGTGTAGACAAGTCTTTAGAGGAGTTTTCTATAAGGAGAAATATAGAGCAGTAGCTTGGGTGGGGAGAGTGAGATCGAGAGGCTTTTTTTAAAAAAATAAAGTTGTATTTTTAAACTTCATAGATGCATGCTTATACAATTTGGAAAGAGCCAATGAAAAGAGGAAACTTGATGATGCAGGAGAAAAAGGGCGAGAACTGCTGAACTGATGCTCTTAAGTTGGCCAAAGGAGATGGGAGCTGTGCCCGATAGTCCCAGCTATCAGGAGGTTTAGGCAGAAGGATTGATCACTTGAGCTATGATTGTGCCACTGCACTCCAGCCTGGGCAGCATAGCAAGACCCTGTCTCTTAAAAAATTTTTTTTAAATAAATAAAGATGAGCCGGGCGCGGTGGCTCAAGCCTGTAATCCCAGCACTTTGGGAGGCCGAGACGGGCAGATCACGAGGTCAGGAGATCGAGACCATCCTGGCTAACACGGTGAAACCCCGTCTCTACTAAAAATACAAAAAAAAAAACTAGCCGGGTGAGGTGGCGGGCGCCTGTAGTCCCAGCTACTCCGGAGGCTGAGGCAGGAGAATGGCGTAAACCCGGGAGGCGGAGCTTGCAGTGAGCTGAGATCCGGCCACTGCAGTCCAGCCCGGGCTACAGAGCAAGACTCCGTCTCAAAAAAAAAAAAAAATAAAAAATAAATAAATAAATAAAGATGGACCTAGTATAAGTAGAGGGACTGGCCTTAGATAGGAACATGGACAGGTCATGCACAATTAATAGGAGGCAGGCAGAATATGTGGCCACAGAGGGGATAACACCTTCCTGTAGGTGAGGTGAAGAAGGGGGTAAGAACTCGTCGAAGTTTTCTTCCCATTGCTTCCATTTTCTCAGTAAAATAGGAAGTAAGGTCATGAACTGAGAGTGAGCAAATGAGAAATTAGAGGCTTGAAGACAGAGAAGGTATGAAACAGTCATCTAGGAGAATGAAAGAACGAGGGAAATAGAATACAGATACCTGAAGTGTATGCAGGTATCAGTCTCACAACAGTCTTTTTTTTTTTTTTTTTTTTTTTTTTGAGTCAGAGTCTCATTCTGTCACCCAGGCTAGAGTGCAGTGGCGTGATCTCAGCTCGCTGCAACCTCCGCCTCCCGGGTTCAAGTGATTCTCCTGCCTCAGCCTCCCGAGTAGCTGGGACTACAGGCATGTGCCACCACACCCGGCTAATTTTTGATTACAGGCATGAGCCACCATGCCCTGGCTGCAACAGTCTTGATAATAGTGGGTAAACTAATTTTTCAATATTTGTTCAACTGTTAAGTTAAAAAAAAAAATTCACACTGGCCGAGCGCGGTGACTCATGCCTGTAATCCCAGCACTTTGGGAGGCTGAGGCGGGAAGATCACTTGAGGCCAGGAGTTCGAGACCAGCCTGGCCAACATAGTGAAACCCTGTCTCTATTAAAAATACAAAAATTGGGCCGGGCGCGGTGGCTCAAGCCTGTAATCCCAGCACTTTGGGAGGCCGAGACGGGCGGATCACGAGGTCAGAAGATCGAGACCATCCTGGCTAACATGGTGAAACCCCGTCTCTACTAAAACTACAAAAAAACTAGCCGGGCGAGGTGGCGGGCGCCTGTAATCCCAGCTACTCGGGAGGCTGAGGCAGGAGAATGGCATGAACCCGGGAGGCGGAGCTTGCAGTGAGCTGAGATCCGGCCACTGCACTCCAGCCTGGGCGACAGAGCGAGACTCCGTCTCAAAAAAAAAAAATCACAAAAAAAAAAAAAAAAAAAAAAAATACAAAAATTAGCTGGGCATGGTGGTGCACGCCTGTAATCTCAGCTACTCGGGAGGCTGAGGCAGGAGAACTGCCTGAATCTGGGAGGTGGAGGTTGCAGTGAGCTGAGATTGCAACACTGCACTCCAGCCTGGGTGACAGAGTGAGACTTTGTCTCAAAAAAAAAAAAAAAAAAAAAAGCCAGGTATGGTTTCATATGTCTATAATCCCAGCTACTTGGGTGGCTGAGGCATGAGAAACGCTTGAACCCAGGAAGTGGAGGTTGCAGTGAGCTGGCTGAGATTGTGCCACTGCATTCCAACCTGGACGACAGAGTGAGACTCTGTCTCAAAAAAGAAAAAGAAAAATCACACTGATCATTTAATTTACATGTCTGATCAATAGTGAGGTTGAACATCTAGTCATTGTATTTTCTCTCTTGTGAATTTTCTGCTTCTGTCCTTTGTTCATTATTTCATTATTGGGTTATCAGTACATTTCTTTATAGATTTGTATGAATTCTTGAGATATTAAGGGTATTGATCATAACCAATTTTTTTCTGTCTTTTTTTTTTAGATGGAGTCTCATTTTGTTGCCCAGGCTGGAGTGTAGTGGCACGATCTTGGCTCACTGTAATCTCCGCCTCCTGGGTTCAAGTGATTCTCCTGCCTCAGCCTCCTGAGTAGCTGGGGTTATAGGCGCCTGCCACTATGCTCGGCTAGTTTTTGTATTTTTAGTAGAGACGGGATTTCACCATGTTGGCCAGGCTGGTCTTGAACTCTTGAGCTCAGGTGATCTGCCTGCCTCGGCCTCCCAAAGTGCTGGGATTACAGGCGTGAGCCACCACACCTGGCCATAACTAATATTTTTTTCTTTAGTATGTATGTGAAATATTTTAAATCTAATATAAGATAATTATACCATCAAAACTCCAATCAAAACCTCATATCCCCTAATCTGTATAGGCAAGAAATAGGAAATATTACCTTAAGTGATGCAAGAGGATGTTCTGGTCCCAAGAGGCTCCAGTGAAAAGCAGCCAGGTCCTCATCTGGGAGGATGTGGTTACCTACAAAGTACATTTGTCATTTATTGACTGTACAAATGTTTTCTTAGAACCTCCAGGCCATGAAAGGGGTCCTGGGAGAGAAAATGATCAAATAATTCACATAGGTCTATATTCTTAATGTAATACTTACAGTAGCTCTGTGTTGATCACTTAATATGTTTCATGTGTATTATATGTATCATCTTTATAATGACTATGTATGGTAATATCATTTCCATTTTACAGATAAGGAAACTGAGGTTCAGATAAGTTTGGTGACTTGGCCCAATGTGGTCTGGCCAATAGGTACACACACCAAGATAAAAAGCTAGGAATGTAACTCCAAAGCCCATGCTATTACTTATCCCCTAAGTCATGTTGCCTTCTATAATAGCAGCCACCAATTACTAACTGCCTAATGAGTGCTGGGCATTTTGTATACCTTATTTCATTTCACTTTACCAATAACACCATGAGGTATTATTATCCACATTTCACAGATGAGGAAACTGAAACCAGGGAGATGTCACTTCGGTGATTTGCCGATGGCCTAATTCCAAAACTTGTGCTGATTCTATTATATTATCCAAACTCATGTCCTTTGGAATTATAGAGCAAAGGTCATGCTTGAGACAGAATATTAACCTTCATGTGCTAAGTACTTGAATAACCAATTCAAAACATAATCAACTCTCTGCAATTTACTTTGAAACACATCTTTAAGAGATATATTGGGCCAGGTACAGTGTCTCACGCCTGTAATCCCAGCACTTTGGGAGGCTGAGGCAGGTGGATTGCTTGAGGTCAGGAGTTCAAGACCAGCCTGACCAATGTGGTGAAACTCTGTCTCTACTAAAAATATAAAAATTAGCTGGGCATGGTGGCGGGTGCCTGTAGTCCCAGCTATTCAGCAATTTGAGGCAGGAGAATCTCTTGAACCTGGGAGGTAGAGACTGCAGTGAGCCGAGATCGTGCCACTGCACTCCAGCCTGGGCGACAGAGCGAGGCTCTGTCTCAAAAAAAATAAATAAATAAATAAATAAAATAAAATAAGAGATAGATTGATGGATGGGTAAAGGAATGGATAGATATATGATAAGGCAATTATAGTAAAATGTTAATGGCAGAATACAGGTGGTGGGTATAGAGTTTTTACTGCAAAGCCCTTTTTCAATTTTGCTGTGTATTTGGAAATTTTCATGAAAAATATTAGCACAAAAGAAACAAAGAGAAAAACATAATCAATAATTTGTTTTTCTGATCTAAATTGAGACACTAGGCAAGTAATGTTAATGCTCTGTGTGGGGAACCAAAGTTGTTTAGGGCTAATAAAACATTTGGCTGGAGAATACTCTGCATAAAAGAGTTATAAAATGTGGCAAAAGAAGAAGGTTTACAGGAATCTAAATAATGTTCTGGAATAACCTGTAGCAACCCATAAAACAAACATGCTGAGTTTTAGTGTGCTCTATCAAGAAGCCCAAAAACCATGCTGAGTTCTCCCCAGCAGTGTCTAGTGTGAAGACTTTAAGAAGACAAATCTAATGATGACAGGCTAAATCACTCTAGTCCTCATCTCTTAACACCAGAAGAGGAAACTACCAATCACTGCAGTCTTTTCTTTGGATGACCTACCTAGCAGTGCAGCAAATATGGGGAAATTCATCCTCTTCAGGCCCAGCTGCTTGGCTACTTCTTGCATCAGGAACTGGTTGGTAGTGAGGTTCTTCCCATTCCAGCTCAGTTTCAGAGCATGGGAACTGTAGTAAGAGGGAATATTGTAGAGAGCATACTCGGAGTCATGGGCAAGAAGGCCATGAAAGCCATTTTCCCTGAAAAACGCCACCACTTCCAAATGGTGGTCTTCAAGGCTCTGAAAGACCTAGGAGGGAAGAAGAGAACGTGTCATGCCACAGAAGTTGATTTGTATTGTTAGAAGGTCAGGAGGTGTAGCAACTAAATTTTATAGTTTGGTGAAATTTGAGATTGTATGTGACAGAACAGAACATTCTTTTAACATTTTTTACTTTTTTTTTTTTTTTTTTTAAATACAGAGATGAGATCTCACTATGCTACCCAGGCTGGTCTCGAATTCCTGAGCTTAAGTGATCCTCCTGCCTTGGCCTCCCAAAGTGCTAGGATTACAGGCGTGAGCTACTGCGCCCAACTGGAACAGAATACTCTTAAAAAACAAAACAAAAATGCTCTCCCAGTCTACAACTTGATTATTACTGTAAACACAGACAGCGTTATACATGTGTTCATTCCCCCAGTTTTTTTTCACTCCTTTCATGAAACTTGCCCTGAGGCTCTTCAAAATTAGAATACTGAAATTAACAAGGTATATATTACTTAAGTTTTTACCTCAAACAATAACATTAGAGACTTCTGTTAGATAATAAAGCTATTATTTATTGCTCAGCATCTATATGCTGTACATATTTTATATATATTATCTCGTCATTAACCTTAGGTAGGTACATATGGATGAAAAACTTAAGACGTAGAAATATACATAGAAATCTAAGTTTATCTAACTGTTTTTAAAAAGTCCTTGCTTTTTTTCTTAGTAGCACCCTACATCGCAGGGCACCTAAATAGCTGCACTTCCAACGGTGAGAAGTCAGAAACTTCACCCCATCTTAGAAATGGGGAAACTAAGGCTACGAGAGATTGACTGCCCCCAAAGTTGCATAATGAGTGAGTGGTAGGCAGGATTCAAATCCAGGCTGATCTGACTCTGGAATGCATACTTTCTGTTGTACCGTGCTTCTTCCTGGAGATCATTATTTTTTATGTAATAGAGGTAAACTGTTAAGTACTCTTCCTGTACATGCCTCTATTGCTGTACTTGAAGTATACTGAAATTATCTGTATACCGGCTCCACCAGATTAAGTTCCTTGACCATATAGAGAATTTACCTCTGTATTCCTGGCTCCCACATAAGACCTGGTACATAGTAGTAATAATAATGGCTAACAGATACTGAATATGTACTACGTGCATTAATTCATTTAATACTCACAACAACCTTGTGAGGGCATACCTATTATTATTATCCCCATTTTATACATTATTAGCCCCAAGGTCATATGATGAGGAGGAGCAAAGCCCAGATTTTGGCTCTAGAGCCTGTGGACCTTGATGGTTTTTTCCAACTCAACTAATCTATTTTTCATTTAAGTTGGAATGGTAGTTTTCTGGAGTTTAACAGGAGTTTCAACGCATTAAACTTTTGCTAGATTATGGAAAAGGAGTCTAGTTACAGTTGCTAGTCATGTCACATACAAGGGCAGAGACACCAGTAAGCAGATAGTGAAGCAAGGTCGATATTCATTTGATATCCAGGCAAAGGAGCCAAAAAGTATTGTAACATATTTATGCCTAGAGATATGAGTAACTCCAGATGTGTCAGGGTAGGAGTAAAGTTTTATGCTGTCCCCTGGTAATAGTTTCTTCCAGCACACCACTCATACAAGTCATTGGTTGAGCATCCATTGACCTTGTACCAGGCACAGTTACTAAGTGTGATATTTTGTCTCTCATCATCACAACCACACCATGCAGGTATTAGAAGCCCCATTTTACAGATGAGGAAACTGAAGCTCAGAAAAGTAAGATGCCATACTCAGAGCTATCAAGTTGGGAAACAGCAACCTGGGTCACACTGACATCAAATTCTCTTGGTGTCACCAAAGACCCTTTCTACTACAACACTTAATCTTTAGCTGGTCTGAAGCCGATTATGCCACCATTCAAGTGATTTCAACTCCAGAAAGCCAAGGACTAGTGATTTTTTAATCAATTTGGTAGCTCTTAAAACACTAGGAATGTACATCACAACCACCTGGAGATCTTTTTCAAAATACACAAACCTGAGCTTCACCTCAGATCTGCTGGAATTATTTATTTCTTGGTTTTTTATTTTTTATTTTATTTTTTTGGAAACAGAGTCTTACTCTGTCACCCAGACTGGAGTGCAGTGGCCTGATCTCGGCTCACTGCAACCTCCGTGTCCCGGGTTCAAGCAATTCTCCTGCCTCAGCCTCCTGAGTAGCTGGGACTACGGGTGCATGCCACCACACCCGGCTAATTTTTGTATTTTTAGTAGAGATGGGGTTTCACCATGTTGGCCAGGCTGGTCTCAAACTCCTGACCTCAGGTGATCCGCCAGCCTCGGCCTCCCAAAGTGCTGGGATTACAGGCGTGAGCCACTGTACCCAGCCTGGAACAATGTCTTGAGTGTGATCCAAACACCTATATTTCAAAACAGTTTTCAGTAGGTTCTCATGCACACCCCCAATTAAGAATCACTGAACTAATCCAATCATTCATTTTATCACATAGGCAACTGAGGCCTAGAGAGGATAAATGACTTGACCTAGCTAATTGCAGCTGAACCAAGATTAGAACAAAAGTTTCATGATTCCAGGTATAGGACTTCTTTTACTAAATATTCTGGAGTAGGTAATGGAAAACAATAGAATAAGAATCTCATGAATCTCTCTCTCAATTCCGTAATACCCCTCTCCTAACAGGCTAATTTTCTAACTACCCACTTCCAAGACTACTCCTGCTTCCCTGTCTTTGCTCACTTGGTTTCCCTGCCTAGAATGCCTTATTGCCTCTCTTTCCCAATGTTCTGAATACTTTCCATAGGCCTGCCACCTCTTGGACAAATTATTTTTTTTTTTTTTTTTTTTTTGAGACGGAGTCTCGCTCTGTCGCCCAGGCTGGAGTGCAGTGGCACAATCTTGGCTCACTGCAAGCTCCGCTCTGCCTCCCAGGTTCACGCCATTCTCCTGCCTCAGCTTCCCAAGTAGCTGGGACTACAGGCGCATGCCACCACGCCCAGCTAATTTTTTGTAATTTTAGTAGAGACGGGGTTTCACCATGTTAGCCAGGATGGTCTCGAACTCCTGACCTCGTGATCCACCCGCCTCGGCCTCCCAAAGTGCTGGGATTACAGACGTGAGCCACCGTGCCCGGCCAGGACAAATTATTTTTAATTCCCCTCCTCTTCACTCTTATAGCACAGAGATGGATGACACAGTCATAGAACTAATTTGACAAGACCATCATCTTCAAGTTTTAAGGTCACAGGTTCTATCTTACTCTTTTATCTCCATGGTCCTAACCATGTCCTTCCAACTAGAAAGGACAGAGAACAGGAGTTGATTGGTACAGAACAGTAAAGAAAGGCCTAGTGAGATTGTTAAAAAGAAAAACAGCTCTGGCAAATTAGAGGGCACTGTCATCTCAGCATTTAACTTCTACAGCAGATGCAGTGAAATCACTAGATTGCAAGCTATCCACAGCTCAAGTAGCAAAGTAGTATTAGGTATCAATTAAGTACCTACTATGTACCAGGCACTGTTCCAAACCCACCTCACGTCCACTAACCTTGCAATAACGTCAGGAGGCATTATTATCTTCATTTTAAAGACAAAAGATCAATGAGGGTCAGAGGTTAGAGAACTTGACCAAAGTCACATAGCTAAAAAGTGAAGCTAGCCAATAAGCACGTGACAAACTGCTCAACATTATTAGTCATTACAGAAATGCCCATCAAAACCAAAATGAGACACCAGTTAGCACCCTAGTTACTAGGATGGCTATAATCAAAAAATGGAAAATAATGAGTGTTGGCAAGGATGCAGAGAAACTGGAATCCTTGTAAATTGCTAGTGGGAATGAAAAATGGTGCAGTTACTTTGGAAAATGGTCTCAGAGATCCTGAAATGGTTAAACATAGTTATGACATGATCCAACGATTCCACTCCTAAGTATATACCCAAGAGAACTGAAAAGCTACGTTCACACAAAAACTTGTACGTGAAAGTTCACAGCAGGCTTATTCATAATAGCCCAAAAGTGGAGATAACCCAAATGTCTATCAACTGATGAATGGATAAACAAAATGCAGTATATACATAAAAGGAAATATTATTTGGCGATAAAAAGGAATGAAGTAGGGATTTATGCTACATCAATGAACTTTGAAAACGAATGCTAACGTGAAACAAGCCAGACACAAAAAGTCATATATTGTATGACTTCTTTCATATGAGATGCCCAGAATAGGCAAATCCAAAGAGATGGAAGAATAAATTAGTAGTTGCCAGGGATTGTGGGGATGGGGAATAAGACTAGTACGTACTGGGTTACCCTTTGAGATTATAAAAATCTTCTGGAATTAGTGGTGATAGCTGCACAACACTATGAATATACTAAAGACCATTAAATTGTACACTTCAAAACGTTGAATTTTATGGTATATGAGTCATACCTCGATTTTTAAAAAGTGGAGCTAGGATTCAAATTCAGTTCTGTTCACAAATCCCAAGCTCCCCTAAAGCTTTAAGAACTTTAAGAACTTTTTATTATGGAAAATTTTAAACATACAAAGGTAATGAACCCCCATGAAAGCATTACCCACTTTCAATTGTTATCAATGTTAAGTCATTCTTGTTTCATCTACCTTGCCCCTCTCCTTTTTATGGTGTGTGTGTGTGTGTGTGTGTGTGTATATACACACACACACATATGTATATATATTTTTTGAGATAGAGTCTTGCTCTGTTGCCCAGGCTGGAGTGCAGTGGCATGATCTCAGCTCACCGCAACATTTGCCTCCCAGGTTTAAGTGATCCTCCTGCCTTAGCCCCCCTAGTAGCTGGATTACAGGCACATGCCACCACACCTGGCTAATTTTTGTATTTTTAGTAGAGACAGGGTTTCACCATGTTGGCCAGGCTGGTCTCGAACTCCTGGCCTCAGGTGATCCACCCTCCTCAGCCTCCCAAAGTGCTGGGATTAGAAGTGTGAGCCACCACGCCTGGCCTTTCTATGGTATTTTAATATTTTTTGTTGGGATTAAA